ACCGTAGTTAAACTTACTTTAGCCGAAACTCCGACGGTAGTACCTTGTCAAGTTTAAGGTGGGTTTTATCTTAACACAGATAAACGAGCGCAGATATTCGATAATACAGGGTGATTTCGATTCAATTCAAATTACTTTGTATTATCGTATAGGAATATACTTTAAAAGAACTGTGTTCATTTAGGAGTGCTTTATAGCTGAGTATTTGCGAGTGTGTGTTTCATTTTCATATTTCCACTTCCGAAAACGTAGAACTGTAAAAAGGGTGTGAATTGTGGGTAGGAAATTTAGTGGTAAAGTTGTTGATGCCGCATTTTTAGTAAAAAAAGAAATGGTTGTAAAATTTTGATAAAAATTTTATGGCGGGAAACATATAGGTATAATTTTTGTGAAATTTTCTGTTAATTATTATTATAGGTGAGCCGGGGGTGTGCAATTTAGTAAATATACTTCTGTAGGTACCAGGAATAGTAATAGGTACTTACTCGATTACTTAGATACTGTAGCTGATAGCAAAAAAATTAGCCCCAATGACTTGTATGTTGGGGGTACAAATTTTTACGTTTGGTGATATTTTCTAGACGGTACTTAAGTGATCATTTTTTGTCGGCATGGCGTTATAAAAATTCATTAAGGGTTGGTCTTTCATGTTACAATTAAATTTATCTGATAAATGTCTGCTATAGAGTTTGACTGGCAATATGAAAGGCTAGTCATTAATATTCAAAGGAGTGTGAGTAGTAATAATTATTTCGTATGTAAGGGCGAGTGATTTTAGTTGTTTAGGATAAATGTTGATTTGTGCTTATTTGTTGTTATGTTGAAAAGAAAAGACTGGCTTGTTTTCATTGTATAATTGTTACGAATATGTTTAGATGTTGTTTTTGTCATTGGTAAATATTTTTGTAAACGTTGTGTTAACTCAACAAGGTGCCCCTGTATTAAACTAAGAAGTTCTTATTTACTCAAATTGGTACGTGATTGATATTGTGAAAATGAACTTGTTCGACTGGTTATTGTTGGTATAATTACATGTAAGAATAAAATTATACTTTTTCTTTTATTCTAAATTAAAAATACCTACTATAAGTGCGTGTAGGTACCGAGGTAGGTACCTTATACCTAAAGGGTATAAAACCATAAAAATCCATGATCTGAATAAGTTTGTATCATTTTCTTGAAACAAATAAAATGAAGCAACGTTATTTTTTACTTTTGTCTTTAGCCAAAGTAATTTACCCACCCCTAAATTCGCATTTCGAAATAAGAGGAACATGATTTCATACAGTAAATGAATAAAATGTAAACAATCCTTGATTTTCTTAAATTAGCGCACCACCTGCAGTTGATGGTAATAAATGCACCACCCTTAGGGGCAAGTTTTTAATGGTTCAATAATCCTATCGGAGAAATAACCTTGTATTAGTGAATATATGATTCCATGGAAAGTAATTGACAGATAGATGGACAGTAACACGAAAAACTGTCCCTATAAGGGTCAATAAGGTAACTCCTATACATAGTGTGCGCTCTTAATGGTAAATCAGCCATAAATTCAGGATCTTGAACTCTTAGCTTTCTAGCCCTAAACGTACTACTCTTTCTAGCGACACCAATTTGGAATCTGCGCTGTTTTCATAATAAATCCAAAGCCAGAGCTGCAGATGCATCAAGACGTGTGGAAAAAATGTACCTAGCTACAAAAAAGTAGGCCTCAATTGGGGTGCTCTGCAGTACCGTGACAATCGAAACAGATCTCTCAAATATCATTGGGGACGGACCATCCGACATTGAAGTAGAACTGGGCTTGGAAATCTCCCAGATTATTGAGACTACGAGTATTTCCAGAAAGTGTGGACAAAGAGGACGAAGGTATGTAACATTTCCTTCCCCAAAAAACAACATTACACACTTGGAGCATAAATGTAGAATGAAAGCCGGCCCGCGGGTCTTGTGCGTGATTAGATGGGCAGAGACGCGCGTCTATGGGGTGAAACAACTTGTTCACCAGTGGGATACTCTACAATAAGTGGAGGTGCCCATATTAACTATTGGGCAGTGTAAAAAAATCTTGACGATTAATGTCCGCATGCACAGATTTTTTTTTAAATTTTAACCACAGATGCTTGTCTAGTAAAGACAAGCATATCGCATATTGTAAAAATCAGATGTGCGCATGCGGAAACTGCGCAATCTCATCTTTCTTATTTATGGATATATTTTTTTGAAATTTTAACCTCAGCTGCTTCTAGTAGACAAACATATCGCATATTTTAAACGTCAGTTTACAGAGGTGTGCGGGTGGTATATAGCCACAGCAATTTTTTTCATTTACTTTCCCTAAGGTACACCGAGTTCAGGATTATATTTGTCTTTGACGCGCTCTAATGATGAAACGCTTCATTTCTGAAATATCAGCCAAAAACTGAGAAAAAAACTGAAATTATGGTAAAAAGTGCACAACAAAACAATGTTCCGGGTCAAGTTTTTGCCTGCAAACGGCCGCTTTTCTAAATCCGCTTTATACGCGGTTTATTAAATTTTGTATATCCTCCACCTATCAATTCTCCAAATTTACGATGGAAAATGCCAAATTTGGATGCTTTATGATCATGACGGGATGGCCTTACAAAATTGAAATTTGCGCTCTTAATGGTAAACTGTAGTAAACTCAAACATTTGACTTTAGAAGACCATAAATGTTGCAATAACTTTAAGAATTATGACTCCAGTGGAACCATTTCAACATTCCTAAATTTGTATGGCAACCACTTCATGATTTTCTCAATTTACGATGAAAAATGCAAATCATAATTTGGTATGACTAGGCAAGAGCTGGACTATGGCAATAACCTCAGGGAACATGCTGCACTTGTTCGGCACGGGTCTAAAAGGGGTTCCCGCACTCACACCCATTCTAGCAGTGACGAGACCAGTGGTTTCCTACTGGCCGTAAGTATTTTGGGACAAATTGCTTGTCACGCTATCAAAAGGCCCTGTTGCCTAGGACGTAAGTCCTTGCGCAGCACTTGGTCCTTCCACACAAAGAGGATGGTTAGGTACCAGCGGGAACCACGTGGAGGTAGTTGCTCGAAACTATGGCTCTTGCCTACCTAATCGTGTGCACCACTATGATAGGAGGACTTACACGTAAGTTCTTTGGTTCATTTACCTCGCGTTACCGTAAGGAATCGACAAAGAGAGTCATAGTTACTCCCGCTTTGTTACCATTATGAGTATGCCGAACTCATGCACAGGTGAGCAAGGTTGTATTTTGAAGTTGATTAGGTACCTACTTTAAAAGTGAAAAAGAAGCAGCTGGAACTTTATTGCCCGTAAGTGCAGTATTATGCTTGCCAAGAGAGTGCCTGTACCAGAACATCTAATGGCTGTCTACAATCGTATGTTTTTCATATTAAACCAGACAATTGTGTACCGGTATTCTCTCCTGGAAAGTACTATATATGAAGCAATTCCCGAATTTTCTGTAATCATATACTTAATCGCAGGGCAGTATCCTTTTCGACTGAAGGTACAAACAATTGGCATAGGATGGGATAAAGTCTGGTTCATACCACGGACTTTTCCCACATGAAATACATGAACATTAGTCTGGGAATAGGAAAAAACATATCAGGATCAGATACCTTAAAAGTAATTCTCACCTTTGTTAGTCTGATAACAATGAACGATAGTGATACATTAATAAATAAGTTTTTTCACTACTAGCGTCTGATGACATGATTATTAACCCTTTTTCCACTTGTAAAGTAGGCTTTCTCGGCATTTGTTCAAAGTGGTTAATAATTTTTTATTATTAACTAGTAGTCAATAATGAGAACTGTCACGCTGTCACTTTTAGAAAACACAACCCGAAATTTCGCTCAATGAACGTTTAGACAAGTTCTCTAAAACGAATAATTGCCACCATTCGCAATTTCCAGAGAAATTACATACCTAAAATTATCACATTTTGAAAAAATTCGAACGAAATTACTCTTTGAAAAATCTCAATGACAGAACAAAATACGGCCTGTTTGACTTGTACTTCCACGTACTTGATTGACATGTTAAATTAAGAAACAAACAATTCTGTCCAACCGTTAACTCTCTTATCAATATAATATGTTAATTTAGAGGATTTCAAGTGCTAGTAGTGAAAAAAATAGTATATATACCACGGTAGAGAAGTCTATTATTGCCTTCGCACCTTACACCCCTCGGCGCAAGCGCCTCGAGATGTAATCTTGGTGCTCAGGCAATAATAGTGGACTTCTCTACCTTGGTATATAATGTACTATTATTTTATAGCAGATGTTAAATTGTTTTGAATGAGTAATGCAAAGTCGATGTTTAACCGCAAGGGTAGATAAAGTGAAACAGATGATTGTGCATTCTAATGACATCTGTCATTCTCATTTCAAATGGGACGTGAAGCATGAAATGAAATGAAGGTCAGGTTCAGAACATAATACAATGCCAGGTCTATGGCAACGACTGCAGCGGCAGAACCTACGCTTGCTATTTTTAAGATCTAAATTAAATTCAGAATTGCCAGAAGGTTTACAATGATTTATATAGTTTCTGCTATAAACTAAGGTTTGTATTATTCACGACAACCACACGTGAAAGCCTTAATTTTGCTGACGTCAGATAGTGTGTTGAAATATTCACCAGTGAAACAAAGTATACATATAACGAAAATAAAATACAAAACAGCATACAGTATGACCTACTAAAATATAATACTAGAGGGCATTTAAAAAATGATTAAAAAAAGTTGCAGGCAATCTCGAACAAAAAAATGTATTTGTATTTTAATTGGGAAATATGTCAAATATATTTAAGTTTCGCATATAAATGCATGTAATGTTAGAACACATTCATGTCACAAGTAATTATATGATACAATTAACTTGTAAATAAGACTAATTAAGAAGAGGTCATCTGTTAATATCATGAATCACTTCATATAGCCCTCGACGGAAAATAACAATGAATATGTTTTCGAGCTTTATTTTATATTATAATGATACATCAAGTAACTTAACATATGCCTGGACAACTTACGATGGAATTGAAATGAAAAGGTAATTTAAATCTTTACTAAGGTATCCAGGCAGACTACGAAATTGCCGTTTATTAACCTATGAGACTTAGTCTCTCAGCCCATTATCTACAAAGTGAAGATTCACGTTCACATTTCGCTACACATACAAAATTACAATAAAACTTGAACAAAAAGTAATTTTGGCGAGATAAAATCCGTTAACAAAGTATAACAGCGTCAAATGGAGCAAAAAAAAAACTGGCCAAAGCCATAAAACTTGTTTTCTTGGATAAGAGTTGTTAATAACGAAACAAATTAAAAAAAGTACTTACAAACTAAGACAGGACCACCACAACACAAACATGCACAATTCGGATGTATAACGCAAAACTTATGATTCAAGGTTCCTTTGTAGACGTTCGATAATAAAAACGAAATTCCATTATCCGTAACTGGCACTTAACTAAATATTTACAAAAATAAGTCTAATATTCTTAAAACATACATGTAGTTACATTGGTGTAACGCCTGAGCACTTACATTATTCTATTTGTAAAACAATCCGCGTTACGTGTATTTGATGCACTGTCCTAATACTTAAACTAAATGAAGAGTTCGTCGTTAACTAAAATAAAGACGCTCTTGGAGCGCCCAAGCGTAAGGAATGACAGTGGCACGAAATACACATATCCACGACCTTGAACTACCTGTAAAGCTATAATTCAGGAAGCTGTGCTACGAGAATATGTGGTTAGAAGACTGAGTTACAATTATTTACAGCTTATGGCATTGTCTAAATGGCAGCAATTATCTCTACCTGTGCGACCGCCGCGGTATTCTCACTTCTGCCTTTTTTGGAGATCAAGGTAGTCAAACCTTATATCACATTACCAAATCGGAATCATCGTCGATTCGAACATGACAAAAGCCACCCGTAGAAGACTTTGAAAATTTTAATACAGAAGAATTGAAAGTTTTCAATTATCGGTAAAGGAAATTAGTTCACAAATCCGTCCGTTTAAGAACACACACTTTCTTTATATTTGGTAATTTTTCTACTAGACAGCAAATATTAATTAAAAGTCGTTTATGCGTCACTAATCACTGCACAGAATGTTCCGTATTGTATTATCTACGATCTCTATACAAAAGATAAGTCTGCAAAGGTTGTGGAAGATTCAAACTGGAAACTCTCTCTTCTATATTCGCTTTTCCTATACGCTGTCGGATGATGCGCCTACACAGGTCGGTTAACGGAAGAGGTTCGGCTAAAAAAAATTAAACAACAATTAATTTACTTATTTACAATTAAAATAATTCTAGACTAAACCATAGTAAGTTTTGATGAATTTTACCAATTGTTTTAACCTATAGCTAAACAAAAGAATGATATTTTTTAATATGTACGTCTGCTTGATTGTTATTTATAATAATTTTGAGTAATTAAACAAACTCAGTTTTTTGAAAATCCATGAAACAAAAAGCTATAACATTGTTTCGACGAGTACATTTAACCCTCCTTCCCAATGTGTGGGATAATTTAAAATTTCAGTAAAAATCTCTTTGTAGGGCCTTCTTCTAATAGTATGAAACTAAAATAATTTCAAGCATTTTCTCTTGGCTTGCGTTGGTTTCTTGCCATTTATTTAAATACACAACTGGTGCTCAAATAATAATTGTCAAATTTGTTCTTTACACTGCAGGTGACAACAATTTGAGCATTGGCTGAATTTGTTGCCAATTATAAATAACGAAAATAAGACAGGAAATGAATACACGGCCAGCAGTGGAAGGTTTGATACAATATGCATAAAGTAGGATTTTCCTTTGACAAAACATAGGTTCTTGATGCAGAGTTGGGCGTTATTTAAAAAATAACCAAAAACTTTAGTGAAAAGGTTTTTGTTGTTTTCAGGCTACCTGTCAATCGAAATTGTGGTAGTTTACGTTTACATTGCGACATGACCAATTTGACAACTTTTTACTAGTGGTCGAACGATACCGATATTGGTATATCGGCATATAGGCAATTATTGTCGATTATCGGTATCGTATCGTATCGGCAAGGTAATTGCGCCGATATATCGGCAAACAATTTTTTTAGCTGTTTTAACTCTTCAGTGCATAAATGAAATACTTTATTAAAGAAAATAAAATGTTTTATTTTAAAGTTAACATTTTTACTAAAAAAGTTAAAAAAAAACAACAAAAAATATACCTAATATAGCAGGTTCTAAATACAGTATATACTTAATACTTAAAATTTAACTTTTTGATATTATGATGCAAAAACACTAACATTTCAGCCCTATCTGCATTTAGTCTATTTCTTTTAGGCTCGTAAATATTACCCAATTCACTAAAAAGTTGTTCACATTTTTTTTTCAAACTTCCTTTACGTCCACCTTGTTAGTAAAAGATCGCGACATAGACAACCTGTTACAAATAACTACCGAAACATTTTTTAGTAATTGGTCCATAGAATTCATTGATGTAATACTTTCATTGATTGCATGATGCTATGTAAACATACTAAATGATGACGTCATAATACACAGATGACGTGCACGCAAACTAAGGAAAATTCTACTACATAAATAATTTGTTGCTCCAATAATTATATCAATTGTTCTCTACTGTACTGGTGCTAAAAATTGTACATAGCCAAATTTGTTCTAACTATAAACAATGAAAATAGGCGGCGCCTATTGAACAACAAAACCACCACAAATTAGCACATACTTGCACTAATTATTTGAACTCCAGTTGTTCGGAACATTGAAATATACGCTATTATTACTATTAATGCCTTTACGAACATTGTTAAAAAGAGTTAAAAAATTGAAATAATGCAAATGCCCGAGAGAAAGCAAAGTTAAAAACTGTGGTTGTGGAGTTTCAAAGATGAAACCAACCTACATTTAAAACCTTGGGGACCATCAAGGCTACTAAAGCATTGTTGAGACACTTAATTACACAACAATAAACAATCCCCACCTCTCATTAATATTTTTTGCATATTTATTACGTTGCTACAAGATATCATCCAAAGCAATTAATTGTAAAAGTTTACGAGTTAGAAGGTAACAGGATATTTTAAAATTCAAATGAACAAGAGAACCATAATTTAATTAACGGTTGTAAATTGTCATTTAGGAAGTAATTAGTGAACAAAAAAAGACAAAAGAATACTTACGATCAAGGCCACCGATATATTTCATAGTAATTTCGCAGTGACCCCAAACTGCACTGACTATTGGATACAGTTTGCGACCCTTAAGTCCACGGAATGCAACTCCTAAATACTGACCATCGACCATAAAACTTAACGTCCCTTCGTCCATATCTAAGACTACCACAAACTTGTCGGGTACTATAAAGGTTTCGTCCGGTTTGAGAAGGGCTGGATATGTAACTCCGGCGTAATTCTTCGAGTCGTGGTACAATTTGTTTCGACCTAAATCCCATCCCCACGAGCTGTCGGTGCTGCCAACTAAACTTTGGTAACCTACAGAGTGAAGGGGTGCTTCGGAAGTTGCGACACCTACGACGGCGTGCGTTCCTCGTTGCCTTGTCGACCAAGATACTTCCCACGCATGTAGCCCTTTTGTAAATCCTATTTTACCTCTAATACAATCTGTACTTTGTGCAACTGGGTGTCTATGGAAGGTTAACTTGTCGTCTTCTTTCACGAAAATGTTTAACGATCGATCATCCGCATTCCAACTGTATTTTAACTGTGTTTCCCTGAGTGCTGGTGGCATGTCCAGTAACATGTCGAGCCGTGCTGGCCGCTGAAATTCCTACACATCAAAAAAACTCATAAAACGGCCCTAACTACTACAAAATATTCACACTATCTCGAGTTAATTCATTCAAATAGTGATCGAATATCGTTGCGTACTTGTTCTGCTTACCTGAGCGAGTTCCCGTGGTATAACGGGTTTGTACGGTGCGGCCGCATCTCGGCTAACTGACTTAACTCCTCCAGAAACTTTCTGGCCCATGCTCATACCACGGGCCCTTCGGCGGCCCGTCTTGCACGGCACCACGGCTGCCTTATATGCTCGCCGCACTTCGCACAATCTACCGCTGCCCGCTCCACTTGTATTCCTTACTGTGCTACTGCGAAAACCACTCCTATACCTGTAAAAATAGATAATCCCATCAGTCTTATGGTCAAGAAATTATGGATTTGATTTTAATTGGACACCAAACTTAGCCTTTTGCGTATATTTATCGTACAGTAAAAGTGCGAATTTGTAAAAATAAAATCCTCTTTTTTCCAGTTCCCGTTTTCGAAAGTGTTTTACTACATGACAAACCTTCGCGGGCATACGTAATGGATAGGTTTGACCTCTCGCCTCAAGTCGGCGGTATAGATTCTTCTAGGGCCGTAGTAGTACTCGCTTTGGCGCCATCTAAGTCATATTGCGATTTAAAATGGACGAGAAAGGGGAAAGTTTGTTGCTTAAACCTAATGCGATTGATTGGTGATTGGCGAAGAGATGGACTGAGGAAAGAACGGAGACGCCCCACCCCCTCATGTTGGAGGCAGACGTTCAAACAGAACCAACCGCTATGGCCCAGGAAAAAGACGATCCAACGCCAACGGGTATCCTAAAAAGTAACATTTGTGAGCGGTCCAAGCGAGAAGACTTCAAATACCAGTAAACATGGACTATGATAGCGGCAAACAGAGAATGGGTCTGTCTCGAAACATGGTGGAGGCAGGATTCAAAAACAAATACATCCATATCGATATCCACGCCCCATTTGGTACCTTCGAGAGCGCAGCGCGGAGCAGAATCAGGGAAACGATCATTGTGGAACCAGGCCAGGAGACGAGTTGCAGCGAAATATTAAGGAAGTTAAAAGAGGGGTTGAAGAAGGTATCCACAATGTAAGAAACACACAAAAGGGCAAAGACCGGAAACAATAATGCACTGGTCGACAAGATCAAGGAAAAGGTGACCGCAGTGATGGAGGGTAGGAAGGTGAGATCCACTGTCACCACCACTTACAACATGTACTTTATAAGAGTTTAGAAATTGAAAAGTGTTATAGGTGCTGGGGTTAAGGGCACAGGGCAAAGGATTGTCAGAAACCAGATAGAACGAAGGCATGTCGAATTTGCGCGCAGGAAGACCAAATAGTTTCCAAATATAATGGTGAACAGTATTATGAATTGTGGGAAGAGAAGGGATACTAAACCATAGCAGGAAGGTGCCCGCACTTCAAGGAAGTACTAAGAATGGAAAAGAAGAAGCAGAGACTGCTCATACAAGCATATTGCGACAAAGAGGAAGAGAGAACCAAGCATGCAACTAACAAGGTCCCACAAGACCAGGAGGCAAGAGAAGATAACAATGCTGAATAACAATCTAACAACTGATCCCACTCGGATGAGGGTACAGTGGTAACATCAATACTACGCTAACTGCTCACGACGTGGTGGAAGACTATTCCCAGGAAAACGGGACCAATTGTAGATCCTATCGCTCGAAGTCGACGGTTTGATCAAAAAGACACGACATTGGAAAATTTATTAAACTGTCATTGTAATATTAGTTTTTTTTTAAGTCTGGCCAGATCGTTATCGGAATTAATTGGATTTATTTATTAACAACGCCATGTGTGAGATAACGAAGCGGTGTTTCGAGTACGAGACTGAATGGACGAGTGAGGGTGGCTTGACCTTTACGTAGGAAGAATAGAGGAAAAACGAGGCCTAAGCCGGCTAGGTCTCGACGTAAACCTGTTCGATTAAAAGATTTTCTTGAGATCCTTTCAATTGTTTTTTTATTTGTCCGTTTTGTAAACTGGATGTGTTTATGATCAAAAAACGTGTTGTTAACTTTAATGAGTGAAGCTACAGATTGCTATAAATGTACACATCTACCCATGGAGATTTCAAAATACATACATTTTCATTTATGTAAAAATTTACAGATCTTTTTGGATATTTCCTCTGAAGTTGCTTCAATATCGAGATAAACTAAGGGTAGGTACACTAAGTACATCCCAATGCATTAGGTTTTGTGAAAAACGTCAAAAGGATCAGGAAATCTATCTAAATGCTTTCTATAGCAATGGAAAACGCTAAGGAAGCCTCTTGGGAAGCCTGCACACTGAGCGATTGCGGCAGCGGCTGCTCAGCGGCGCTGCTGCCGTCGCAACCTTTCACATTATTATTATTATTATTATTATTATTATTGCCGGAAATGGATGGTTTCCGTTAGCACCGTCTATGGGCACTTTTTTGGGGAGAATCGCATATCTGTTATCAGAGTTTCCATACCACGGTAGATGTAGAAGTTACATCAGAACACTACTTTCTTATTTCTTATGGGCACCATATTGGATTTTTAAATGAGATACAGGATAAAAAAAAGTACAATGTGACGTGTCCTACTCTATTTATTTATTTATTTATTTGCCTTTATTTTTGAGTGGGCGGGGTTTCAGCCAAGGCTGCTCTACCAACCCAACCCACTATACATTTACAAATATCCATGCCCGAACCCGGATTCGAACCAGGGACCCTAGCACCACAGTCCAGCTCCAACTGAACTGCGCCACACGGGCCGGCTCTATACTTTCACATAAATTTACAAGAAAAATTTCAAAATCAAAAGTTTTGCATTCATTTCTCAACAAAACATCCATGGTAACTAAATCTTGCTGAATTACCATGGCTTACTTTTTTTTGTCCTCTATCTCATTCTGTAAAAATCGAATATGACGCCCATAAGAACTAAGAAAGTGGTAGCCTCTAGCTTCTACATCTAGGGTGTTATGGAAATTCTGATAAAAGATTCAGATTTTCCGAAAAAAAAGTGCCCATAGAAGGTGCTAACGGAAACCATTCACTTCCGACCGTTTCAGTTAGGGAACATGAAACCCTTGATGAAACATAAATTTAACATTTTCAGTTTTTGGATATCTCAGTTATATTCAAAAACACGTTTTTTTTAGGGGGGGGGGGGCATTTAACCTACACTGTATCTCTCAGCGTTACAGCGATTCCAATCGTGAGCTACGAATTTGAACCACCCTGCACAATCTATATGATACAAATAAGATTTAAATAACTAATACAGAGAGTGGTTCAGTCGAGGGTTCACTATTAAAAGCATATGGGCAGTAAATTTATGTAAGGCCCTTTCGAGGGCACTTGACTCTTGTGAGTAGCTGGCATCCCACACAATTGCCATTTAATTATGGGAATTTGTGGAGATAAAAACCAAGCACAAGTGACCAAAAGGCGAATGAAAGCTATCTCCATGAAGAAGGTCCGTATAGTCACACTTGTGGTAGACAAAAAAGCACCCAAACGTGGAAAAAATAAGCTGAGGTCAGACAAACCTCTGAAAAACTACAATAACAAACTCATGCAAAAATTCATACCGAAGCTAGCGAAATGGGACACCAGGCATCTTTGGACATTAAGTCAACATTCGGTTATTTGTAGGTGTAGAATATTTTTTTTAATTTTTTTACAATGCACATTCGTGTGAACATTCTGAATGGAGGCAGACGGAGTGTGACACCAGACATGCGCAGTAATCGATTTTGTAAATACTTTTTAGTATTCAAATCCTTTAAAGTATTCAAATACTTTGTAATTAAATACTTTTATGGAAGCAGTATTTGTATTTGTAACTCAAATACTTTCACAAATATTTAGTATTCGAATACTTCGCAAAGTATTTGGATACTTCGTAAAGTATTCGTACTTTTTCGATTAGACTTCTCAATCAAAAGTTATGGACCAGAAACCAATTTCGAAAGAAAATTGAAAAGGCTGTAACTTTTGATCTAGTAGCCCAATCTTAGAACTGTTTGAAATTATGGATTCTACAGGCCACATTCAATAAGAAAATTTTTTTCCGGATCGATCTGAGACAATTTTTTCTTCGTGCCTCAAAAAAAGGCAGTGTACCTATAACCTTCCTTTTTTACCAAAAATCGACTACACCAAAATTTCTCGGGAAAACACTTTTTCTTATTAATTTTGGTGAGTAGAATCCAAAACAATTCGTACTTTTTCGATTAGACTTATCAATCAAAAGTTATGGACTAGAAACCAATTTCGAAAGACAATTGAAAAGGCTCTAACTTTTGAAATAGTAGCCCAATCTTGAAACTGTTTGAAATTATGGATTCTACAGGCCACATTCTATAAGAAAATTTTTTTCCGGGTCGATCTGAGACAATTTTTTTTTCGGGGCTCAAAAAAGGCAGTGTATAACCTTCCTTTTTTACCAAAAATCGACTGCACCAAAATTTCTCGGGAAAACACTTTTTCTTATTAATTTTGGTGCGTAGTATCCAAAACAATTCGTACTTTTTCGATCAGACTTCTCAATCAAAAGTTATAGACTAGAAACCAATTTCGAAAAAAAATTCAAAGGGCTCTAACTTTTGAACTAGTAGCCCAATCTTGGAACTGTTTGAAATTATGGATTCTACAGGCCACATTCTATAAGAAAAATTTTTTTCCGGTCGATCTCAGACAAATTTTTTTCCGGCCTCAAAAAAAGGCAGTAGGTACTTTTAAGTTATTCAAATATTTGAGAACAATTTAGAAATGTTTAGGGAAAGTTTCCATTGTCACAAAATCAAATATAAAAATCCGATACATCTGAATACCGAACTCGATAGTCTACGTAACTTAAAAACAATAGAGACCTTTCTTATATCCTTAAGACCAATTTTCAAAGCGATCGCACGTTTCTAAACAAGTTATCATGCACACGGACAAACGGATGGTCAAAAATGGATCTGTTCCAAAATCGCTAGGATTAATTTCAGAAAGGCGTATGTATCATGTGCACGACGTACGATCGCTTTGAAAACTGGTACACGTATTCTTAAGGATATAACTAATATAAGACAGGTCCTGGTACCTCCTATATACTAATATAATAACAATAATATGCTTTTACTCCCCTTAAATTTGTATATAACAATAGAAATATAAAAAAAGCTAACCCCATACAAAGTATAACTTGATTTTTTAAGTAGGTAGTATTACGCCTTTTATCTAGTATACTATTTTAAATTTTTAATGTATTTGAGTGACAAGTATTTGAATACTTTTTACTGTATTCGAATACTTTTCAAAGTAAGATAATGAAATA